TTGTAATAATCTAAATGTTACGATTATAATAAAAGCTGAATTGTCGTTAATTTAAAAAAAATTTCATAACAAGTTTTGCGCTTGCTGCTCCCTTATTTGAGGGACTCACTTGCACAGCTATTTTGTGCAACTTATTCTAGACTAAGTTTACAGACTTTTTGTGGTGCAGAATTGTATTGGGAAAATGTTGGAGAGAAGCTAAAATCAGACAGAATGAAATCAAGCTACATCAGCCATATTGTCACTGCTGTTATGTCCCTACACATATTATTAAAACACATCAACTTTGTTTATGCATTAAGACTTAAGGATTTTTGCAGTTAATTTTAAGTCTATTTAGTATAACAGCAGCTCAACAGTAAGTATTGTAACTGCTTGCTTCATGAGGAACTTAACTGTTTTGAAAAGGGTTAAAAAGTTTTACAAGTTTTTTAATAAAAGTTATGATGTGTAAAGATGGAGATACTAAGGACATTAATCCTGTGACACTGGTAGAATTATGATGGCTGCCCTGAGTAGGTGATATGTCAGTTTAAAATACATTAGTTATCAGTTATTTTTATTAAATTTGCATTCTCTTTATGACATATCTCTTCAGCCCTTTAATAAAAAAAATAGAGTAAATAAATTAAAAAAAAGATTTAACAAATACTATGATTTTTAAAAAAAAAAATCCATTAACAGTGCAGCCACGCTATTACAGTCTTCTCATATAGTCAGTCTCCTCTTATCTCTGACTCCCGAAAGTCCCAATAACAAAGCAGCATGAGGCAGCAGTGTCTGAATTATGGTGACCCTTGTTTCATAGTAATTCTGAGTTCTGTGTGATCTCAGGTGCTTGAGTCCAGTGTGCACTTGTTTAGTTGTGTGTCAGAGCTAGCGTGCTTTTAATAGAGCTCCAGCGCAGACAGGATAGCACCGAGTCACAGTTAACAAGTCTCAGTGGATTTTGCCAAACCTTAGAGCCACGTGGGTATTCCTGTACTCTCTCCAAGTTTCAGAAGATTGGTGCAGCTGGCTCTGCATGGTGTTTGGTTCCACCAGGACTTATTAACCCGGAAGGGTAGTAGATGAAAGCAACTAAACTCCTTCTGGGCCAAAGCTGAACCTGGAATATTATAGTTGTGTTTGTGTAGCACTTGGTTTAGTTAGTAGCTTGGGCTGGATTTGAGCTGGGTCTGCTTAGAGGAAGCTTAGATGTTTTGCCATCCATTACATCATTAATCCGCAGTTGACAAAAATTGCCCAAGGCTAATAAAAGTGTGCACCTACGCTACTATGTTAACTTGGATCAGAGATGTGCCTTTGAAGAAAGTCTCACAGTCATCCTCACTTAGGAAACCTTTTGCACATTGGTTTGCGCTATTCCAGTGGATGATTCTATGAACTGGATTCCTTTTGGATGAAACTATATTGAAAAATGCACTCTTACCTGCGAATGGGCATTTGTTCCATTGGGGTAGACCTCCCCAAAACCTGTAGTGTGGACATTAGGGTGTCAGATCCATTTGTTTTGTTTAACAGACCTGCTGTCGTACTGCCCTGCTTGCTGGCACAGGCATAGCCTAAATTGACTGTGCTTTGACTCAGACCTGACACAATCCATCGTTCTGGGGGCTGAAGAGGTCATGATCTCAATATTTTCGAGGGTGTCAGGCCAGATGCCCACTGCTTTTCTTACCTGTGTATCTTTGTGACCACTGTAACATTCACACAAATTAATCTCTCACTTTAAATTGGAACTATCAAGAATGCTGCTTATGTCCAATTTCACTTGAGGTAATACTTCGATAAGTCAGCTGAGGCTTTAAAAATATCTCAGGACTGTTTAGCTACTTACACATCTGATTATATTAGGGAAATTTGGAAGATCGCCATATACAATACTAAGATCACAGGAAATATATCGGACGCTGATAACTGAACTGTACTGGCAGTATAGTAGGGCAGTCTGCAGAGAAGTTCAAGATACTGTTCCTGAGATTTCTACAAGTGTATTCTACCTAGGCCCAGCTTAGCATCTCTTGGCTTTCCATGCCTAACCCTTGGTTGTAGTTGCTTACCAGTTTGATGTCAGAGGCCCTTCTGACTGCTGGAAGAGTATGTACATTTCTGACAGAAAAAATGTGCTATTCAGTTCTCTTCATTGTAGCATCTTGGCTGCTGCAAGGAACTGGATGTATCTTCCTCTCTTGTCCAGATCTCTCACTTCTCCAGTGAGCAGTTTCAGTCTTGATATCTGTTGATCCTCACAGTTTTCGTAACAGAGACAGAATTAAACTGTTCTCTCTGTTGGTTCACGTTGGTAGTTACATATAGTAGCGAGAAAGAGACCAAGGGTTAGTGTTGATCTTCAGTCTTACAGCCAGCAGAGGTGCTAGAATTGGTCCATGCTAGAATTAAGTCAGGCAGCTTTCTAGCTGCTGTGCAAACATGGAAAAAATAAGAACAGCGTGCTTCAAGTGAAATGGATTGTTGAAGCCCTACAGATAAGTGTGTTTCACCTCCAGCTGACTAGAAGACTAAATTTGATCCATTCTTACTGACTGCCTTGTTCCTTTTGTGCAGACAATTACTTCATTGACTGCTAAATCTTTGCTTTTTTATTTAAATTTAAAAAAACCCAACTTTGCCTGCATGCATATGTAACATCTATTGAGTAAGGTATGTTTCAGCATCTTTTAATCCGAAGAACTGTTTCACTTCTTTAGTCCCTTGGGGTTATTTTTTTAGCTTCTTCAAAATGGTGTCTCGGATAAAGTGCTTATCAGACCGAGAGAAGGGACTGCACCTACAGGCAGCCTGGAAAATTACTTTCCCAATTGTTTCTAGTTTAACAGACCACTCCTTAATGTCTTGTGGACCTCAGATGGTGTAATGCTGTTGCAGCCTGTTTAGAACCATCTCAGACCAATAGCTTGTTACTCTACCATCCTGCCCCAAAACAGCTTTGAATTTTGTCCAGTTGTCTGTCAGCATGCAATATAGATTAAGGACTGAGAGCCTTTAAGATCTTCATTTTCTGCCTTTCCTGAGACTGTTGGTTGGGGGTTTTTTGTGAAAAAGTTTCAAATAGGGATACCAAGACGGATAAGGGAGTTCTGTTCCCTTCCATACCATCCAAGTTTCAGATTCTAGAGGAACATTGACTGATGTGTGTGTAGTCTGAAGAGACAATAAACAGTGGTCTTCCAAATAAAACGTTCTGGCAGTACACATTTGCTGCTTTTCTTTGCTCATTCAGTTTTAAAAATTCAAGAATGACAGAAAAGAATTATGTTCTTAAGCATATGGATTATAAGGGTGGGGAAAAATGTTTTATCTTTATTTATTGTATAAAATAATATTTATTGTACTGTTGGAGAAATGCTTCCATTTGCTCTCTTGTTTCTTCTGTCATCTTAGACCTTGTGTCACAGAAGCATTTATCTTTTGTTGTAGTTGTAACTTTTGGGTGAATTATGCTGTAGGATCATATGTATGTCCTTATATAAGAATAAATATGTTCTGATGTTCAAAGGTACTACCGAATACATTTGGGTTTCCCTTTCATACTCTGCAGTCCACTGTATACTTTTCTCTCTCATAGTTTTTTCCGGACTCTGTGGGAATAAAATTTTGCTACATGATTCTCTTATTATAATTTTGTAGCTCTTTCAAATATATCTACTGTTATGGTAAAGAACTGATACTAGCTCTTCTGATATTTAAGACTGTCATTAGCTACTTGCTCTTGTACATGTATGGAAGGCACATCTGTCTCCAGCAAAGCTAGTTTCCTGTTTCTTGTGTGTTCAGCGCCAGGAAGCTGGGGAAAGCATCTTACGATCTACGGGTTTGTTGTATGCATTGGAATTTTGCTTATCATAATTCGTTTTCTTAACACTGCCCAATTCAGTTTTGAGTTTTGTTTGCCTGTTTGGAAAACAGTTGCAGTGAAGATCCAGTACTGTAGGTTGTAAAGCAGTCTGTACAGTCCATTGAGAAATACAGATGTTTGTGCAGACAGCTAACTGGACTCTTGTCACTTGTGATACGGTGTCTTTGTGATTCATATCCACACAATCCAGTGTGTTCGAAGTTCCTCTAGTGCTTCCTCGTTGCAGTGTCAATGTACCTGTACGCTCAGTAGTCATACTGGTGACCAGTTTCGTTTTTTTGTTAGAACTGAGGGCCAACCTTCTTTGAAGACTTGACCATGTCAGGTTACTGAGATAATATTGGAAGCAAGAATATGTGCCTGGTTAGGTGTGTTAAGAGTGATCTTCAATGTTTTTATTATTGGTGGTGTCTGTTACAGGGTCAGTAACACATACATCATAATAACCATCTCAATAGCAAATGATGTTAAAACAATCTTTACTTTCCATGGTAGCATATTGACTCTCAACTCATGGGCTATCATCCAAGTTTTGAACTCTAGATGTGTGAATTGGGAAGTTAAAAATGGATCAGAACCCTCTTGCAAGCTTTTAACTGTCTATGTGCTGGAATTTGGGGACCTCCCCAGTGTTGTTTTAAATAGAATTCCTGTCAATGCTGAGCATTGTTCTTTCTCTTATCCTGTTCCACAGTTGTATTGTGCATAATCATTTCTTGTAGAACTACTTGCCGTATTAAAAACGTATTACAAGATTCCTTCTGTTTTCAGATACTGCAAAAGATAGCTTTATTTTAAAGAAACTGTACCAACTGTTAAATGCTATTTAATTCACATTCCTTGTAAACCATTGGTATGAGAAGTCAGGTATAGTTTTGATTTTCACTTCCTTCTGAAACACTTTCCTAGAAGTGCTGTTTTTCATTGTGAAAAAAGACTTCTACTACATTTGTAACTTAATGAATAGCAAGGGAAAAAGAGTTAAAAATAGTTTTAGTTCGTAGTTGAATGTCCATATAAAGATTTAAAATCGTTGTGGACACTTACCATTTGCACTGCTTTTGTAATTCATGTTTGGGAACTGACTAGTACTAGTTTCTTTTTCTATGTTTTTGACAGATTGTGACTGGAAGAATGTCTTTTCCACCTCACTTGAATCGCCCTCCTATGGGAATCCCAACGCTTCCCCCTGGGATCCCACCTCCACAGTTTCCTGGCTTTCCTCCACCTGTACCTCCTGGTAAGTTATGTTTAGTATATGGAAGTGTCGTAGAAATAAATTACCTTTTATTATTCTGAATTGTGTTATTTACAAAAATTACCGGTTCTTAACATATTTCAGTAACTCTGGTTCTTGTGCGTTGCGATTGAGTTTCTAGTTTACTCACAGATCATGTCATGTGAGCAAACTCCTTTTGGTCTACCAAAAGCTGCTTACTTCTGACCAGAAATCAAACCATTAGAGACAATACTGGACTTTGTCTTGGACCTTTTTTCAAGACTGAAGCTAGGTGGTGATTTTTTGTTAATGTTAGATATTCTAAGAGCTGCTGTTTTGACAGTAAACTGTGATTTTCAGTTCTTTTCAAATAAGCCATTGTAATAGCCTTTGGAAACACTTAAGTACACTGAGTATGTGTGGTGTGGAAATACAGGTGTAGCTTTCAGAGAAGGTCCAACTTCTTGTGTTGCTTTTCTCCACCTTTTTTTAAGTCCCACTTTCTTTTATTCTGCTTCTTACATACGTTCCTCCACACATCTTGCAAACTTGCTGTTACATTCCTCACTCCTAATCTTCCCGGAATTAATCCCACCTTTTTTTCTTTGTTCACCTTTAAGAGCAGCCTCTCCTTTTTTTTGTGTTGAAACTTTAATTGTTCTGAAACCACCTTCTTTCTGTGCATTGCCAGTATCAATAACAGTGATGGGAGGCAGGAGACCGCAAGTGGGAGAGAGGAAACATTCAGAGAATTACCCCTTTAAAATTCATCACAAGGGCTGCAGAAAATAACTCTTATCTGTATGGTCTTAAGCTGTGTTGCACACAAGTGTTTTGTAGACAATAAAGGCATTCAAAAAACAGATGGCTGAACTCGGGAATGGTTTGTGCACATCCATTCATCAGGCTAATCCTTACTCGCATTAATTTTTCTGAACTTTTTTTTCCCTGAGATCCATCAGATGTTACCTATTTTCTGCTAAAGGCAAAGTTCTTGATTAGGTGGTGTTGAGCCGTCAAAAATTTCAGGTTAAATTTTAAAACCATACCTGTTATCTTTTCTAGCTCCACTTTATATATACTAGTGTGAAAAACACCAGATACTTTTAAAAATAACTTTCTGAAGAATATTTTAAAATGTCTGATACAAGTTTCTGCTCTGAACACTTGCCTCTTAAGATGTGTGACGAAGATCTTTTTGTTCTCTTGCTGTGTTTGCCTTTATTTATATAAAAAGTCTTGTTTCAGTATTAGTAATCTAAACAGTATGTAGATGGGAGGAGCCTGGTATTAGGCAAGAAGTAAACTTTTTCTCTGCGCACTAGAAACATGATTTGCTTACTTGTGCACATAACATATTTCGACATGTAGCAGATATGTATCTCTCATTTCTTAGCACAAGTGTATCAATAGAGTGGAAAATGCCACAGTGACTTTATGAAAGTCTACTGTGAAGTTATTCCATACATAAGATCACAATTTTAGTGTCTTATAATATTATCTTTAGTTAGCTATTTGGCCAGAATTTCATATTCTAGTTATCTTTCTCAACTTATACATTTTTGAAAAGTTTCAGCTGGAGCAGTTTGCTTGTGTAAGAATGAAGTTAGGAAAACTGTTTTGCTTTGCTTAAAAATACGGCTGTTAAAAATTAAGTTCTAGCATTTCCATCTTGAAGTGTGGAAGATTTGATAAGGAGGAGATTCTGATGGCTCTTGTCATCTCTGAAGATTGTTGGATACCATTAAAATGTAAAAAACTATTGTTCATATGTAAGAAATGCTGTAGTGGCTTAGACCAGCAGTCCATATAGCCTGATGCATTGTCTGGGCAGTGGGAATACAAGGTAGTATTTAGGGTGGGCATGTACTCTGCTGTCTGAGTGTATTCCCTCATACAACTGTAGTATTGAGGATGTTAGAGTATGATCTTTCATTTTTTCCTTTATCTTTTTCTGGACCTGTCATTAATTAACATTTTGATATTTTTTTGAACCTGCTGATAGTGTCCATTTCCACTGTCGCCTCTTGCACCAAATTTGAAAAGTTCATTAGCCACTGTGTAAAGTGCTACTTTCTTACATCTGTCTTTAAACTCATTGCCTAATTAGTGTCCTGCTCCTTCCCCAGTTCTGATGTGGGAGTTGGGTGAGTTGTGTTTTGTGGTTTTGTATACCTCAGTTGTGTTCCATGCCTTGCAAACCTCCACACTTGAAGACTCTCAGGGTGTAGGATCTTTCCTGGTAAAGCACCTGCTTCAGCACTTAAGTCGTGTAGTTCTCTAAGGCTGTGTTGTTCTTGGGTTGCAGAGACCAAGTCTGTAGGCAGTAGTCAAGGTATAGGTGCACCAGGTTTTTGTATAGCAGCTAAACGATACCTGTGGTCTTGATCATCAGTATGTTTGCTGACGATGCCCAGCGTTTTAGTGGATTTTTTTTTTTCTTGGCTTCTGCTGAGCATTGGGCTGATGGTTTCAGAGAACCATCAGTGATAACACAAGTATATTTACTGAGTTGTAACTTTAAAGCCCAAGTTCAGCATTATGATAACTATAGTTATAATAGTTATAGGACTGCACCACAGAGTCTTGTCTTGGAGTGGTTCCTCCAGTCTGTGAGATGCCATACTGCGCTAAAACTGAGAGCATGGGAGAGCAATACACCTTTTGATTTTCTGAATAGTTTGGAGGGATGGAGGTAGTATGACTTTAATATGAAGGGACTGAGGAAGAGGATTGAGTGATGAAAAAAAAAAATATGGAATCAAAGCAAAACCAGAACGGATGAGGAGAAAGCTGGAGAGGATGTCTGAGGAGAAGTGTTATTTCAGGACTACGCACTGGAGAAAGTGGGGGAACAAGTCCAGGAACACTAGGTTGCGTAAGTTTGATTAGGATTTTATGAATACAGCAGTAAGAGAGATGGTAGCCACATAAAATGGAGAGTAAAGCTTAGTAGATGTCAGCAGTATTTTAGTTTTGCTCTATTCCATCAGAATTCATACTGTGAAAGGGAATGCTTCACTTTAAATGCAACTGTTATGGAGGAATCAAAAGGGAAGGATTGAGAGTGAAAGATGAAGAAGTTTTTTTTGTAGGATGAAAAAAGAGATGTAGGATCCCTAGAGGGTGTTTCTCTGAAGAACTTGAGATTGACTTCATTATTCTTGAGTCTCAATGTCTTTATTGGCCAGCAAGTAGTTTTGAAATCCATTCACTTAATGTCTTTAACCTCTGCTAGCAGCTGGCGTGGAAAGATAAACAACCTTTATTATGATCAGATATTGGCTCACATGATATAACTGAAAACTGCCAGTGAATTTGGTAGTGGGAAAGAGGATATTCTGTGGTTTCACCTAATTAAGTATCGTTTTAAATTAAGTTTTAAGAGACTGCCAAGTCAGGTATTCAGCAGGTAGAGAGCTCCTGGATTGAGGTTTTCTATGCTGCCTTAATTAAACTATTCCATAAATAGTAGCATGAAGCCTGGTGGCATTCTTTATAGGGCCTCATCCCTAAGCTGTATGCGGAATCGATTATGCTATGAAAATTAAGCAAGTCAGGAATACAATTGTCATCTGTAGGACTTCAGCTGCTTCTGTTCTCTATTTATGGAATTTTCTGCCTCATTCATCACACAACTCTCTTCTAGAACAATACTGTGGTTTGAATGTGCTTTGAAAATAGATTTGTTTGTGATGAACAAAGTCAAAATGGTAATACGATAAAAGTGAGGAGGATGCACATGTTACGTTAGTGTACTCAGGCTATGCTTCAATGCTTAAGGAATTACTGGTAATCAGTACTGTGAAATTCTTATTTGACTGAAATTGCTGTCTGGTTTGCAAATGATGTCTGTGATCAGTTCTTTTGTATTAATCAGTATTCTCAACAGGGCAGATTAATATTTATGTCTTGTCTTTCTCAGGGACCCCTATGATTCCTGTACCAATGGGCATTATGGCTCCTGCTCCGACTGTAAGTATTACAGTGGGGATGAGCAGGTAGAAAAATAAAATGGAGAGTAAAACTTAGTAGATGTCTACAGTGTTTTAGGTTTGCTCTATTCTATCAGAATGCACACTATGGAAGGAAATGCTTTGCTTTAAATGCAGCTATTGTGCTAATTTCTGACCTAGACAAGTAATGTCTGGAGCTACTAGTTTCAAAGGTGAAGCAATTTCTGTTCTTGCAAGGAGATACACTTCTCTCAAATATAATGGTCTTTCTATGCAGTACAGTTAGATCGCTAAGATTCCAGGTGTCTTGCTTTTGAGTTTGTTGGCCTAACAGTGTGCTCTGGAAGCATCACCTTATCCAGGTTTGTAGGTCCATCATGCAGCTCTGCTGAGTTGGCCAGAAACAAACAAGCCCTGTTTCCCTGTATTGCAGGGGAAGGATAGTTGCATTAATACACATCAGTGGAAGAGCATATGAGAGAAAGGTCTCTTTGTCTTATTAATTTCTAGTTGGAAGGAAGGTTTTAGATTTATGAGGCGGAGAAAAAAGTGCTCTTTAAAATATAAAGGTTACTTATTGACTTCAAGGTGAATGTTGTGGTTTAGCCCAGCCAGCAACTAAATGCCACACAGCTGCTTGCTCACCCTCCCCCACCCCCAGGGAACGGGAAAGAAAATTAAAAGGAAAAAGGGAAGGAAACTCATGGATTGAGATAGTAATAGCAACAACAATAATATTAAATGCAGTATGATAAAATAATAATATATGAATATATATATTAATATGTACAAACAAGTGGTGCATAGTCCTGGCAAGCAGTCCTAAACCAGATGAGTCCTGACACTGCACTCCCAGACAACTGAGAGACACGAAAAGAGACGGGGAGAGAGAGAGAGAGAGCACTCAGAAGAGCAAGAGCTTCTTCCTGGTCAACCAATACTTCGTTGGCCAGTTTGGCCCTCAATCCTAAGTCTAAGTTCAAATCATAAGGGGAGTTGTGGACCCTTTGTCCTAGCCATGCTCCCCCCCCAGCCTGTTGTGCTCCTGTACACTGGCAAAAACGCAGGAAGCTGAAAGGTCTTTGATGTCTCAATGCCAACTCTAAACACCAGTGTGCTATCAACGTTCTTCTCATAACAAATCCCATACGAAATCCAAAACACGAAGCTCTTTTAGATTCTAAAAAGAAAAACTAACTCTGTCGCAATGAAAACCGAGACAATGAATTACCATTTCTATGATTTTGCATAAGTGACATCTCCCCAGAATACTGAATTTTTTGATAGCTTGTATTATCTGTTACAGGAGGATATGTTGATGTTAACATGTGTTTAAGACAAAGATACTGTATCAAAAGCATTAATCAGTTTTCTGATTAGTTTTTATTAAGTGACACTTTCAGGAGGGTGTTTTGAGAAGAGGGATTCAGTGCATATGTACCGTTAAATCTTAGGTGGAAGGAGAGAGGTGTAGCAAAATGGAACGGATGATCGTGCCTATCTGCGTATGGTTTATTTTACAAATGTTTGCTCCTTAACCCAAAGAGGCTTTGGATTGTGTATTGATTAAATACAGCAGTAGTGTTTATTCACTCTCTGAAAGCTTTAAGACCTGTCATGTGTCCATTGAAGCCTTTTGAGTCAGAGTTACTTTTCTATTTACAGCCTGCTTTTTACGCTGTTAGGTAAGGTACTTCAACTTCCAGTGACTCAAATGTTGCAAATTAGTTATTTGTAGAAGAAATAATACCTAATGTTACTAAATGCTCACCTTGAGATCTTCCAGTAGCCATGTTCAGGTACATTCTTTTTTTTTCTGTCTGTCTTTGCCAAAAAATGGCAATCTTTTTTTTGTGTTGTATAAAGTGTTAAAGCCTGAAGCACTTATTGGTGTTTCACTCCATAAGCCTATCTAAGGTTCATATGAAAATTTAATTTTGGAGTACATGTGCATCCCCAACTCTTTCATTTTACAGATTTAAATAAAAAAAAACCCTAACCCACTTCAATGCTTTATTTTACACCCTCTCCTCCTCTTTCTAGGTATTAGTTCCTACCACAGTGTCTATGGTTGGAAAACATTTAGGGGTCAGAAAAGAGCATCCTGGCTTAAAGAACAAAGAAAACGATGAAAACAGCGGTCCCACTACCACCGTTTTTGTAGGCAACATTTCTGAGAAGGCCTCGGACATGCTTATACGGCAGCTTCTAGCAGTAAGTACAGTGCACTGTTAATGTTAAATTTCATCCCTGGCTGATGAATGAAGTAATGACCCACAAGCAGTGGATTGAAACTAAAAGCAGAGTTAGTCCCAGTCACTGGAATAGCAGTCCCTTACACTTGAGTTTAAAGTTGGTAAATGAAGAGTACAGCTTTTTTTAAGCTGAATATGTCAGTGAACGTAGACATACTTTATTTTTAGTAGTGTTTACCCTTTTTACATGTCATCTTTTGGAAAAAGTGTTGAAGTTTTTGTAATGTTTTGAACATAATCAATAATTAATAATATTTATCTTTAATGCAGAAATGTGGCTTGGTTTTGAGTTGGAAGAGAGTACAAGGGGCATCTGGAAAACTTCAAGGTAATTGTTCACACTTTTCAAAATCTCTGGTCAGACTCTTGTTTTTATTACCTGGCAACTTTTCAAATGTCTGACACATTGCTATTCTTAATACTTTTACATTCTAGGATACTGTGTATGATACTTAACTGCTAAATACTTCTTAGTAAAGGCCTAGTATTTGCTGTCCTTGGAATCAAGACAGAACAAGAAAAATAAAATTGGGAAAGATTAAATGAGAAAATGTCTTGGCTCACCTTTCTGTTCTGAGACTGAATCAGGAGTTTATAGACCATCCCTGAGAAAAGTTTACCAGTTTGTACTTAGCCTCCAAAGGAGCACATTTGCAACACTTTCAATAGTCTCTCTCACTACTATGTATTATCCTTCTCTCTTAAGGAGTTTTCCTGATGTAAAATTTATCTTACCTATTGTCAAATTGAACTGACTTATTTTTTCTTGTGACCTTTCTCCAGTGGACATAGGAAACAATTTTGGTTACTGTTTTTTGCCATTATTGTTTTTACATCTTCCCTAGGTTGTTTTTTCCTTTTTTAAGATGTATTTCAGTTTCTTCAGCTTTCTTATATATCGTACTTTGTTTATTTTGCTCTCATAAGGATTTTTTTTTCTCATTTGCAAGTTTCTGTAACTGTTGTGAAGAACCTAGTTTGAAACACTCCTCCCTCTAGGTTAAAAATGAGCTGTTGATTGATGTCCTTGGTCTTCAGACAATTGCAATTCCACCTGAGACATGTCTTCATATAGACTTCATTCCTTAGTTTAGACAAACATGTCAAAAGCTTCACAAACACAATCATAGAATAGTTTGGGTTGAAAGGGACGCTTGAAGGTCATCTAGTCCAACCCCACTGCAATGAGCAGGGACATCTTCAACTAGATCAGGTTGCTCAGAGCCCTGTCCAACCTGACCTTCAACGTTCCCAGGGGTGGGGCATCTACAATGTATGAATTGCTTTGACCTTATTCATTGGGCCGTTAGTTGTATCAAAGACTAATGCAGTGAATGATCTTTCTGTCTTTTTATGATGTGTATTTCTGGTTTTAAAAAAAGAAGTGACTATGTTCTAAGTTATTGATTCAAAACTTTTTTTAACGCAAAGTAAATTACCTGAAGAGATTTAACACAGTTACTTTTCATTTCAATAATCCATTTCAGCCTTTGGATTTTGCGAATACAAAGAACCAGAATCCACACTACGAGCACTGAGACTACTCCATGACCTCCAGATTGGAGAGAAGAAGCTGCTAGTCAAAGTCGATGCAAAGACAAAGGCTCAGCTAGATGAATGGAAAGCAAAGAAAAAGGCTTCTAATGGGGTACGTTTATAACATGTGACTTGTGTTACTTTGGCAGGAGGGCAATATAATATAATTGATAGATCAGATTGTGAGTGTGTCTCTTAGTTTCTATTTTTGTCTCTGCCCTTAATTAATTTTAGCATTTCACCAGAATCACATTAATGAGTCTGAGGATATGTTGAAAGGCAGTGCAAGCTCTTAATTCACTAGCATTCATACTTACCTATAAGCTACAACTGAATCTCTAGAATTAATTCTGTAACTCATTCTGAAGTGTAGTAATACCTGCTATATGATTCTGTTGTTTAGAATTTTTGCTTGGAAAATCTTGAAAGTATTTAAACTCTAGAAGCAATTCTTACTCTGTCAGAGTCCGTAAATCAGCTTTCTGAGGAGAATCGGAGTTTCTTTCTCCTCTGCTGATGGTCTTCTAGAACAAATTAATGACAAGGAATTTAGATGATCTTTCAGGCAGTGAGCAGCTTACAGACATTTAGTAAATGGGGTAATTGGTTATGTACCATTCCTTTCTAGAGCTAAGAATCTGTTTTGGAATAATTGCAGATATTTGATATGTTGAATTCTTGTGAGATGCAAAGATATTTAACTGACAAATTTGCATTAAATTGAATTTTATCTATTTCTTTGCTAAAATAATATATTTCACATCACAATCAAGTTGTTTGGCTTGGTCTGTAGTATTTTAAAGTCCTGCATATGCCTTAAGATAGTACTTAAAACAATTATTTTCTGTAAAATGGAAGTGGTAAGAGACTCTTGTTCAAAAAACTAAAAATACTGATCGCATTGTAGCAGGTAAATTTTTAAAATTCTAATTTGGAATTGTTCTTAAACCTTTGTAAAATACATTGGGAACACAAGTACTTTTATTTAATTTTATTTAACCAGAACTAGAGGCATAATGATGACTTGAAGTAATTGACACATTTTTGACTGTGTACCTAGTGTATGGGATTAAATGCAATGGCTCAGTAAAGCAGAGTGCTAACTTCATGGGTTTTGAATGGAGTAATGTATTAGCTGTTAACCTAGGTAAGGGTTTGATTTGACTGCCCCTTCTGTTTCATGCTTCCGTGTTTCCTGTTGGCATCACCTGTAATACTGTGCTTCACAGCTGATATTATAAACGAGCTTGAAGTATCAGTGGCGTTCTGGTACATCTCTCATGAATTTTGTTTTCTGTGAGCTCTTGTTGATTACAGTCAATCTCTCAGGATAAATAAAGCAGAAGGTACTTTTTGTGGCTTTGGTGAAGACAACAGTATCTGTCAATTCCATTGAACTGTAGAGTGAAATTGGCTCCAAATGTTTGTTGTTTGGTTTGTTGGGTTTTTTTTGTTTGTTTGTGGTGGTGCAAAGAAAGGCTGCAAATTGCCAAGGAATATTGATGAAGTGTATTGTAATCATACTGCTTGTGATTCCTTTCATACTCTCATTGGCGTGCTGATGCCACTCAGATCCAAAAGTTGCAACTTTTTCATTTAATATTTTTTATTAAGAAATCAAAACATGTACACTACAACGCAATTTCTTATAGAGGCACACCAAGCAAACCTTTATCTAATTAGCTCCTCTCCCTGATCACTTCTCTCTGGACCTCTTCAGTTCCACTCCCTGTCACTGCCTTCTAGCTCTTTTCAGCCTGCTCTTCCTTGGCCTGGCAGCCTCTTCAGCTCCAACTGAATCCTCCCTTCCCCCTCATTCTTAGCTGCTGCTCCATCAGACCCTTCCCTCCCCCTCACTCCACCCACCACCTATCGCTTGACGGGATATCCAGCTGGATTCTCAGGTGAGATTCCATTTTTCTAAAAGATTCAGGGGATGAAGAGGTGGGCTGCCTTGCTCAGTATGCAGATCATTGTTCTATCCTTTCATGCAACATTTAGTGAAACACACTTCTTTGTGTGTGTTCCCTTTCCTCCCTAGAAGGTGGAAAGGGGCAAAAAGATGAGGAACTACAAAGTAATCAATCAACAATAATAAGAAAATGCTTGCTGTGCAAGGAATGTTTTCCTTAACAATGTTTCTTTAATATAGTTGTCCCATTGTAAGTTGCAGCTTGAAAGTTATAGGTAGACATTTGTATTGCATAGCAGTTAAGCAGAAGACTTTGAGGAAGTGTTGTTGAAATTTCTTTGAAGTTCTGACAGATACAAGGCAGAAACTTTTGACCAAAAGCTGGACTATAGTGATTGCCTTTCTGTGAGGGTGCGTGTGCTTTCTCTTTTCCTGTCTACCACCTTAATCAGCTTTTATCAGTTCTATTTTATTATGCGGTTCTGCACTTGCTCTCTGCAGCCATTTCACATGTAAAGCTATGTGGTCCCTACGGTATTGCCAGTGTGAAAAGATCTGACTAAAATAATGCAGTTGCTAACTACCTGTAGGTGGTTTGGTTTCTGTGGAGTTTTGGGGGGATTTTTTTGTTTGTTTGTTTTGTTTTTGTTTTTGTAAATGCTCTAGGGGCATGAATGTGGTGATCAAAGGTGAACTTCTGAAATAAAGTAGTAGTATTGTTCTCAGTTTGTTGATTCCTGTTACTTTGCAATTTTTCCTTAGAACTCCAGACCAGAGACAACAAATGATGATGATGAAGCACTGGATGAGGAAACAAAGAGAAGAGATCAGATAATTAAAGGGGCCATTGAAGTCTTAATACGAGAATATTCCAGCGAGCTCAATGCCCCCTCCCAGGAATCTGACTCTCACCCCAGGAAGAAGAAAAAGGAAAAGAAGGAGGACGTATGTGTTTTGATTTTGGACAAAACAGATTTTTCTTCAACTCACCTTTATATAATGGCCAAACCTTGTGCAAATACTTAAAACCTAAACTTCTGATGAGAAAACAAATCGACAAGCATTGATGTCAGCAGCAGTTTCACTTTTTTAAGCTGAAAGCTAGTTAGTTATAGACACCATCCCTTCAGGATGGTTTAGGCATCTAAGACCTAGACTTCTTGGAACAACAGGTTTGAATCTGGGCAGGATTGAACCAACCTTTCATCCCTCTGAAGGTGGAAATAACTGAATTTAGTGCAGTTTAATCTGTATGTGCATGTAGGGTTTTTCAGATGAGAACTTAAACAACTGTGTAAAGAGTTTCTGCATACTGTCTATTTCCATTGAAAGATACCAGGGCGCTTTTGTAATGGCAGGAATTTGCTCTGGTAGTTTTGGACAAAATTCTTCTTCTTTCTGCTTATAGTATGCATTCTTGTAGTGTGCCTTGATCCGACTGGTTGCAACTGTCTCTCCAGATGTGGAAGTGCTTCATTAGTTGTTATATGTATACCTCATAAACCTTGGAGGAATCCTTCAGGGATGAAAGGCATATTGTAATCTTCTTGCCTTACAAAATCACTTTTACATGCACGTGTCAATTTGGCTGGATTTGATCAGCTGGTTTTCATAT